AGCTATATGAGACAAATCCACAGCCAACATCATTCTAAATGGAGACAAACTTGAAATAGTCCTACTAAAACCAGGAACCACAATAGGCTATCCCTTATCCCCACTCCTTTTCAAGTAGCACTTGAGACCCTAGCTAGAGGAAAAAGACAAGAGGAGGAAATTAAAGAGGTGCTAATTGGAAAAAGAGGTTAAATTATTCCCATTTGCAAATAATATGTATGAGTTCTGAAAAATTCAACCAGAAAACTTCTATAAATGATCAACACTTACAGCAAAGTGATAGGATAAAAAAATCAATTTACAAAAAGCACTAGCCTTTTTATACAGCAATAACAAGTTGTCAGAAAAAGAGATCATGGAAATGCTCCCACCTACAATAGCCTAAAAAAAAAATCTAGGAATAAATCTAACTAAAGACAGTAAACATCTCTACAAAAAAAAAAAAAACCTTTACATCTTTTTGAGGAAGACACAAAGAGTTGGAAAGACCTCCCATGTTCATGGACTGATGGAATTAATATTGTGAAAATGACCATCTTACTAAAAGCAATTTATAGATTGAGTGCAATCTCAATCAAAATTCCCATGAGATTTTTCACAGAAATAGAAAAAAATCCTAAAATTCATATGGAACCACAAAAGACCCCAGATAGCTAAAGGAATCCTTAGCCAAAAGAACAATGCTAGACAGATTACCATACCAGAATTCAAACTATATTACAGAGCTACAATAACAAAACAGCATGGTATTGGCACAAAAATAGACATGTAGCTCAACTGAACAAAAGAGAAGACCCAAACATGAGTGCTTGCAATTACAACCACTTGATATTTGACAAAGAAGTAAAAAATATACACTAGATGAAACACATCATTTTCCACAAATGGTGCTGGGAAATCTGATTCTCCACATGTAGAAGAATGAATTGAGACCCATAACTATCACCCTGCACAAAAATCAACTCCATATGGATTAAGGACCTCAATGTGAAACCTTAAATGCTAAAACTGTGTATATGGGTTCCAGTGCAGGAGGGACTACAGGAGGGTGCCTGTGGGTGGGAAGAGGGGTATGAAGATGCTTAAGATTGTTTGAGGTATTCTGTATGAAATATACAAAAATTCAATAAAAACAAATTTTAAAAAGCTGTTAGATAAAACATAGGCATTACCTTACAAGACAGGTGCAGGAAAAGACTTTCTAAATCAGACTTCATTTGCTCAGGAATTAAGGCCAACAATTGGCAAATGCAATCTAATTAAGCTAAAAAGCTTCCGGACCACAAAGGAAATGACCAATAAAGTAAAGAAAAGCCACATAGTAGGAGAGACTCTTCGCCAACTACACATCTGATAAAGGATTAACTTCCAGAATATACAAATAACTCAAAAAAACAAAGAATCAAGAAAACATATGACCTCATTATAAAATCGGCTACAGATCTGAGCAGAGTTCTCAAAAGAAGAAATACAAATGGTTAAGAAATATATTTAAAAGTGTTCAATATTAAAAGTATTTAAGATTTCATCTTACTCCTGTCAGAGTGGTTAAGATCAAGAGAACAAAGGGCCGCAAATGCTGGCGAGGATGTGGGGAAAGCTTATTCACTGTCGGTGGGATTGCAAACCGGTGCACTCACTGTGAAGATTACTGTGGAGAACTCTAAAAATAGTAAAACCATATTGACCATATATATCATCCAGCTATACCACTCCTTGGTACATATTCAAAGGACTTTATATCCTACTATAGAGATAATTGTCTCAGTCATGTATGTGGCTGCTCTTTTCACAATAGCTAGGAAATGGATACAAGCTTATTGTCCCTCAACCAATGAATGGGTAATGAAAATGTGGTACATTTATACAATGGAGTTCTACTAAGTATACAAAAAGAAATCAGAAAATATGCAGGTAAATGGAGTCAGAAACTGCTATAATAGCTGAGGTAACCCAGATTCAGAAAGACAAGAGGCTCATTCTCTCTCATTTGTGGGTCCCATCTCCAAACCCTTAGATGGTGAGTATATATCCAGATGTAATCATAGGAGTCAGGACAATGGAAAGGAACCATGCCTAGAGAGAGAGGAAGATGGAGCTCCAGAGGGAGAGAAAAGTAGAAAGTAGGTGAGTAGGTGTTATCAAGGGTCAAATGGGGAAAATGGGGGTGTTAGTTAATTGGGGTGATAAAAGGAGGGGTATAGAGGTCAAGAGAGAGGAAAGAGAATAATGCTTACAAGATGAAAATCAAAAATTAAATGTATTTAATAAGCCTGGAAAATGGATGTATAATATAAACATGAGTGCATGTATGTAGCTGAAGGCTATATAACAAAAATCACAGTGCCAGGCAAGAGAAACCTCCCTTTGAGTTGTTGGTCAGGGTAGTCTAAGAGACTCCCCAATATGATACAGCCCTTGATTATCTCCAAAACCTTAAGGTAAGATTCTATTACTAAAGAAATGACATACTTTGGACATAGGAATTGGAGAAATTGAGCTGGAACTGACTTGGAATCCTCCTCCACAAAAATTACCTCCTACAGTATCTGAAGATACTATGCAAGCTGCCAAGGGAGAAAACCAATTAATGGTCTTATCAGCTGTAAAGCCTCTGAATCGGCCCAGCAAATAACCTCTACAGGTGCAGTAGTGGCGCTTTTATCTCAGGGTAATCAACATCTGTCTAATTGAACTTTAGGTTCCCTCAAATGGGAAAGAATTCATGCGTGGTGTTGTAAACATAACCAAATACACATGGCTGGAGAGGTCATAGACCCTAGAATAGAACTATTTCTGTTGCTTCCCTAGAGCAAACTAATTTCTTACTAGATTCTAACTGAGTCCAGTTAGTGCTGCCAGTTCATGGGCATAGGACCATCAAACAGAGCGTGAGCAATGTACCAGGGCCACATCCCAGAACAAAAGTGACTCTGCCTCCCTTATCAGCTGAAAAGTGGCATCAAGTTTTAAAATTATGTGGGACAGATTAAAAATCAAAGATTCAGGTGTACCAGAGGAATCTTGTAAATAAATGATGTGGCCTCTGCTGTCAGTGGAGAAATGAAGTAATCAATAGATGATACTTGAGAAACAGAATTTCTAACTGGGGAAAACGTTCAATTTCTAACACCTATTGTATTAGTCAGGGTTCTCCAAAGAAACAGAACTGGTAGAATGAATATATATGTATAGAGATTTATCAGCTTAGCTCACAGGATAAAGTCTGAGTAGTCCAACAATGGCTGCACCACACTGGAGAGGCTGAGAATCCGTGGCCGCTCAGTCCACGAGGCTGGATGTCTCAGTAGTCCCGATCTGGCACTGAAGGTCTGACGAAGTCCAAAATATCAGCTAGTCTTCAGTCTACAGCAGCAAGACGAACTCACCAGGAAGAAAGAAGGCAAGCAGCAAGAAGTCAGGCGTTCTCCTCTGCCATGGCCTTTTATACTGGCTGCCATCAGAAGGTAACACCCACATTTAGGGTGTGTCTTCCAGCTTCAGACGATCCAATCAAGAAGATCTCTCTCATTTCAGTTAATCCCAGATCCAGTGAAGTTGACACCCAGGATTAGCCATCACACCTATCTGATAGAAAAATTAATTTCAGATGGATTAAAACCTAAGCTTACAAACACAATATTAGCAGAAATGAGAGAGCGTGGTTGGGACTTTGGAAAATGTCTGACAATGCTGTACACAGAAGGTATTTTTAAGTTGTATAATACTCAAAATTTATAAACTACACCTAAAGTTAAAAGATAAGTCACAAAATAGGGAAAAACACTTCTAATTTACATAGATATTCAAGATATATAAGTAACTTTTTCAATTCAAGAAGAAAATATTTTCTCAACTATTGCTCAAAGACTGGCAAAATAAAACTATTTTATACACTAGCATAATCATTTTATTTCTTCATTTGAATTTCATAGATGCAAATTCAAGATAGAAAATGCAGCTGGCTTGTAGCTATATGGGAAATGTGTTCAAGTGTACTTAGTACACAGAAAACTGAAATTTCAAACAAATTTGATGCAATGCATTGCATCAGTTTGGCAAAAAATAATTTTAAATTTGTTAAACTCACATTGGCAAGAGTCAGGAATTCATTAACTTCCATGTATGACTGGTGGGATAATTTGACAGAACCATTTTGAAGGAGTATTTGGGAGAATTCCTTTAAAGAATTAAACTATGTATCCCATTTTAATGAGCAGTTCTATTTGATTTATTTATTTATTTTGATCTGTTTGAGACAGGGTCTCTCTGTAGCCCCAGCTGTCCTGGAACTCACTATGTAGACCAGGCTGGCCTTGTACTCACAGAGATCCGCCTGCCTCTGCCTCCCGAATGCTGGGATTAAAGGCGTGTGCCACCATGCCCAGCTGTTTTGATTATGCTACAAAAATCTGATTCATACAAGGAGACACAAAAGAGAACAGTTAAATAAAATCTGTTACTTTGTATCCTGGCAAAGAAAGAATGCTGAAGCTTTTCAAAGTGACCAGCAGGGTGATAGAGCCATAGGAGGCCATTATAAATAAAAGTCGTATATGTTGTACATATACAGTATATATTCATATCATTTCTATTTAAATTCCATGGACAGTAAATTCTTGGATGAAGAAATGGATATAGTGGCCAGGTGTGGTGGTGCACACCTTGAGTCCCAGCACTAGGGGACAGAGGCAGGCAGAGTGTTGGAAAATTGTGGCCAGCCTGGTCTACAAAGTGAGTTTCAGGACAGTAAGGGCTATGTAGTTTCTCTTTCTCTCTCTCTCTCTCTCTCTCTCTCTCTCTCTCTCTCTCTCTCTCTTTCTCATCCTGACTGTAGAAATTAATTGCAAGAAATTTTCATTAATTAGGTATTCATATGGAGAATTTTCAAATATGCAAATTAGAGAAGAGATAACCAATGAGGATGAACAGAAACAATTATCACTGATAAGTATTTTGCTTGAAAATGGCTATGGTGACGTGATATATAAATTATCCTCTTCCACAGCTACTGGTCTGCAGCTGATTTCATGATAGCAGTTGTAGCATTCCTCTGTGGGAAAGAAATGACTGTACAGTTCAATACCTCTTTCTTAGCCAAGCAGAATGCAGTCATAGCATATGTGTGACAGACACAAGATGCGCTCTGTAGGTGTTCTTTTCCTGGGTATTGTTGCAGTTTTATTTTGGTTGTGGTAGAGATGGCTTGTTTCAAAACGAATTGAGATTTGGCCTAGGGTGGGAATGGATTTTGAGTGTTTGATGCCTTTCTGAGGGGGGCAGGGAGGGAGGTGAGGGAGGGAAGGAAAGTGGGAGACCGAGAGAGAGAGAGAGGGAGAGGGAGAGAGAGAGACAGAGAGAGAGAAGAGAGAGAGAGAGAGAGAGGGAGGGAGAGAGAAATGGACATGGCCTAACTATATGGGAATTTTTTAAATTATTTATTTGTATTTTATGCATATGAGTGTTTTGCCTGCAAGCCGTTAAGTGCACTACAGCATGCAGCGCCAGCAGACACTAGAGGAGAATATCAGATCCCCTGGATCTGGACTTACAGAGCATTGTAAGCCACCATGTGGGTGCTGAGAACCAACCCCTGACCTCTACAAGAGCAGCAAAGACTCTTAATCGCTGAACCATTTCTCCAGCTCTCTGAAAAGTTTTCTTTATTTATTTTTAGTTTTTGATCCAGGGTCTCACTATGTAGCCCTCACTGGCTCAGAATTTACTGTGTAGACCAAGCTGGCCTTGCACACACAGAGATTGGTCTGCTTTTGCCTCTTGTGGACTGGGATATATGTTAATTTTTGCTCTACGTTTTGGTAAGTATATGAATACAACCAGACATATTCACCGTATGCATACACATGCACACAAAAGATACATACAAAATAAAAGAGTCATGTAAAGGGGCTGGAGTTAAAGCTCATTAACAAGTACTGTAGTTTTATTTGCTCCTTTAGAAACAAAAATTGGCAATAGAATCCACATATAAATTCGCGTAATCAAGATAATAAAAGTAAATAAAAATTTAAAAACCCAAAGGACTATAAAGGAATGCTTGACTAGAAGCATTACTTATACCAAATCTGTGAAAATCTCCATTTCTTTTTTTCCTGCCCAGTTGCCCACAGTAGACATTTCCAGATCGCCTGCAAAAGACTGTTCATGCCAGATTTTCTCAATACTCACATTTGAAGTCCTTAATGCTTTGGGGAGACAAATGAAGTTCATAGCCATTGCCCCAAAGCAGTACTTGTAGCGTGTTCAGTAATTAACTAGAAACCAGATTATTTCAGAAGCAAACCATCAGTGTTCTTTATGACTGAAACCTAGTGTTTAAAACTATGTACAATAAAGAAATGGTCCCTTTACTCAGTGACAAGAAGTTGTTGTTATAATGATTCAATTACCAACATTCTCATTGTTTGCCAGAAGAAACACATACAAATCATTATTTACAGATTCAATGATTAGCTTTGTTTCTTCCTGAAAAGGTCACTTTTAGAGTTTTATGTGACCACACATAGTCAAAGTCATTCTAAAAATGAAGACCAGAGTTATTGCTTAGCACCCCAAAGGTCTCTGCTCTGGCTCGTCATCGTAGGTTTCCCATGCTTGACTGTGTTCAGCCATTTTCAATTTTTTTCCCAGTTAATTATTTATTAAATAACCACATACTTAGAAGAAGCATTTCATTACAACAGCATTGACATATTCAATAACAATTTTCTGAGCTAAGATGCATCTTTTTCAAAATTGACTGTAAATTTTTAGGTTTACAGTTGAATTGATACAGATATAGAATATTGTACTCCATATGACCCCTATAAGACATAAAATTAAATGAGGTTTTAAACTTTTAAGAAGATCACCATTTCATTATTTCCATACAGAAAAATTCATTTTAATACAATTGACATTATGATGCACATGTATTTCTAATCTCTATATATCTTATTATTACTAGTCACAGTCAGTTACTTTCTGAGCTCCTTGGCATCTGAGCATGGATATAACGTCATCAGGTAGATTTCAACGGTAGTGTTTTTCACATCTACTAATTATTATTATTTTTTTAATCATCACTTTTAAAAACTTTTTAATAACTACATGATTAGAATAACCATTTCACTAGAGATTTAACATATTCAGTTAAACACACTCCAGAGCAAGAGTACATCTCTTTCACACGTGGGTGCAAGTTTCTAGGTTCACAGCTGAGTAAATACAGTTATACAATAAGAAGCCTGTGGGATGGAGAGAGCCATTTTCAAATTTTTAAATCACATTTGCAAGTATATTATTAATCTGGGGGGACTGAATTTTGCCAGTCACCAAATCCTTAAGTAGGTAAAATCAATTACTTAAAAGTTGAAAATGATCCTGTTTTGAGTTGCATTCTTTTCTAATTTCTCATGAGTTCTGGGTGCTAGGGATCTGCTGCTGAGCACCATGCTGTGACTCAGGCCTTCATCATAACCCTGGATTCTTTCCCTAGTTGGGTCACTCTGCTGAGTGGGAAGAAAGCTGTTGTTTTTCTAATATCATCTAAGTATTAAGTCCTTTCCCAGCTCTGGACTCCGAATAGAGTCTCATTCTTCTCTTTTGCTTTGCCTTTTTCTTTCTGTTGGCATTAGAATGACTCACAGTAACTGACATCATCCTAGACCTCCAGTTATTCTAACTAAAATGATATGGGAATGCTAAATTGTCTGTAGAGTTGTCAAGATTCAGATAGTGTCACTAGGAGGATATGGAGAAAAATTATTCTATATAATTCTTTTAGATCTGGATGTAGACAACAATTGCAAGAAAATTTCATCAATTCATTATGCATAAGGAGAATTTTCAAATATATAATTTAGAAAAGGGACAACCAATGAGAATTCAAAGAAACAATCATCACTGCGAAGTATTTTTCTAAAAAAAAAAAGATTGCCTAGTTGAAATTTTAAAATTTTATCAATGTGGAAGTTAAAAATACTATACATCAGAGCAGGGGAGATGGTTCAGTGGTTAAGAGCACTACCTGTTCTTGCAGAGGACCTGGGTATGATTCCCAACACCATATGGCAGCTAACAACCATCTGTAACTCCAGATCCAGGGGATCCTTTGCCCTCTTCTGACCTCATCAGGCATTGCATGACATGGGTGCACTTACATACATGCAGGCAATACACTCATATACATAAAATAAAAATAATTTTTAAAATATTAAATTAAAAAATCTGCTGGGTGTGGTGGTGCACGCCTTTAATCCCAGCACTCAGGAGGCAGAGACAGGCAGATCTCTGTGAGTTCAAGGCCAGCTGGGGCTACTGGGAGACCCTGTCTCAAAAAAGACCAAAAAAAAATCTTTATTCTTCCTAATAAAGAAAAAGTGTTTCTACAAGGAGTCTTGTGGTCATTTATAACTCTGACAAAATCAGTCATCTGAGTTATATCCAAAGAAAAAGGCAGTCTCAGACTAAGCTGGTTATCTCTACCAAACTTGTAATAGGGGGGCCCTGATAAATTCTGTCCTGAAAGTTTTATTTAAAGGATCTCAAAAAGTCTGGAAACTGCTTTAGCTTTGTGAATTACATACAATTTACCCTTTTTCTTACTCTGAGCTCTGATAACAGTACATGATTATATTTGTGCAAAATTGCAAATAATACAAGGATGGCAAAATACTCATTTACCCCATATTTATTCCTGCCTAAAAATCATGCAAGCTCAACATCAGGTTCTATTCCACATCTGTTTTCCTGTCTCTGGGGACTGGGTCTGTGTCTGTCTGACACAAGGTATATGCTTAAGAAAGGACTGTTGGAGTGGATTAATGCTGAATGGGTATTGTTCCTGCATATTCATAGATGTGTGACTCTATTATATGGGTATTTTAGAGAACAGCATATGGACTGAGATTTAGGTGTGGCAATGTGGGGTGACATCTACAGTGAGGCCACCTCTGGAACCTGAGTCAGGCTCTTTCAGTCCTCTGAAGGTGACACACTCAAACTCAAAAAGCCTGCCACTTGCTTTTCCCTGCCTATGACTGGGAGAACTAAAAGGCAGTTCTTTAAAATGTGTTTTAAAGATTATGAGTTTAGCTCAGTGTATAACACTTGCCTAGCACTTACCTGGGCTTGGCCTCCAACAGTACACACACATACCACATACACACACACACACACACACACACACACACACACACTCACACTTTTTAAAATAGTTATCACCTAGGGAAATTTATAATGCTCAAAGAAAGACAGTGGCAAATGGGAATTTCTTGGTTTTCAGACCTGATCTCTGATGCAGAAGGTAAACCACTTTGTGTAAGGATGTTTGGAACTTTCAGGAAGAAGGAATTTAAACATTTTCAACTAAATGAGGTTCCAAAATTAAAGATTCAATTAGGCAGAACTGTGATGACAGTCGCCAAGACCCAGGAGCAAAGAAGGGTTAGAGGTAAGTTGAAGGAAAGTTACAGATCTCCAATACCTGAATTTAACAGAGAACCAGAGAAAGAATCCAGCATTTGAGTTAGGAGTTGCTTAAATAAAACCAGGTCTGCTTCAAGTCAGACATTACTGGTATGAATGCAAAGGGCTAGCCACTGGAATCCTAACAGCCAGTATGGCCTCTTACTAGTAGCCTGCAAGTCTTCCAAATTGTCTCTCCATCACCGTGAGGCCCAGTAGCACCTGAAAAAGACTGAATAAGGAAATGAGTAGCACCCACTCTCCCCTCTTGAGGTCAGTTTAACTGTGAGGGAATCTTGGCAGCATGCAATGTGTTACCATCAATATTAGGAGATGGCAACTGGTATTGCAGCTGACACCCCTCCAAAACTGTACATCAGAATGGGGTGAAGTCTCATTTTTCTAAGCACTCATAGATTCCTCTAGTGGGGTGATCTTGAACTGCAGAAGAAGGGGGACTGACCTTTATTATGTGAGAAATAAAACAGCAGTGTAGAGACTCACTGAAGAAATGACTTGTACCATAAATAATATAAGGTTACCAGGTAGCAATCAGTCCTGCAGTGACTTCCAAAGTCAGCCAGATTTCTCAGTCTTATTGTAAAACCTGTAAGAAAAACCACAACTCATTTGACGTACGTGTGGTAGACTTGCTATGCTAACACCTCTG